AAAGTGAGATAGACCACTACACCGGGCACTACGTGCCCTACTCTTTACGAAGAGTGTGTGGGTTCTTTAACGTCCCACAGATTTATTACATGTGCAAGGGCTTGTGAGACGGGGCCTACGGTTTATCGTCCTTATCCGAGAAGACTAGAAAGTCTAACCATTTGCGGTTGTTATTTAAAGGCAAAAAAATTATCATTTTTAGATCTGTTTTGCTGTATTGCTGTTTTAATGCCTGGTTTGTAGAATTATAAAGATATTCAAAATTCGCGCCAAAACCGTTCCAATAATAAACTGGTCCATGAAAACGACGTGACACGAGCGCATGGAAGTTGCTCGTTTTCGGTTATGGGCTCCTGTAGCCAGAAGGTCATACGTTTGACTCCTTTTGGGAGTGTTCAGATTTTTTCTTCCGAGCAGCCCCGCTGAGTCACTGACTGAAGAAATACCTTTCTCGTGCTTTCACCTGGCAATTTCATTTACCATCTCACTTTTATCATATTACTTCGATTTTCTAAGTCGCCTTTTTCTTGTTATATATTGTTGTTTCAAAAAAAGGGAATATTAAATGCACCTCCTTTTATGAATAATGAAGGTGGTGATGCAAGCTTTTTCCTAGAAAGGTCATTAAAGCTAATTAAACACCTGCACATGCGCATGAAAAGCGAAAGGGAGTTAAGACTTTCGAGTTGTTTTTTTCAGGATTCAAAACATAAGTTCAAAATTCGTCTTTGCCGTAGTGTCGGTATGTCTTGGTCTGCAACTCAACGACAAAGGCTTGCATACGAAAAGTCATTGCTTGAAAAATACTTTCAAAACAGAGTAACATGGATTAATCCAACTGAGGCAGGGGAGACCAAGGTTGAAGTCCTAGTGACCTGCAGCAACGATAAGCAGTACATCTTGAGAGTTTACCTGCCGCTAGATTTCCCTAACTCCGTCCCTGCTATGATTGTGAAGACGCCGTCCATGACTACGCTTAAGAAACGCAACGGGAACGCATTACACGGAATCGCTGATCACACTTACGGAGTGCGGGACGGCTGTACCCAAGTCTGCCATTTCAGACCGGATTTGTGGAAAGATAACAACACGTTATACCAAGTGGTCATGAAGGGATTGATATGGTTGGAAGCGTATCAGGCCCACCTTCGTACAGGACAACCTTTGAATGTGTATCTTTCTGAAATGAGTTCCAGAGGTGTTAACCAGTATCGCCATACCATGGGCAGAAAAGCCTTTGCCGCTTGTGTGTTTTGTGTTCTCTTGGCCTGTTACTATTTGCTCCGCCATGCCACTTAATACAGAGACAGCTGGCGGTCAGAAACAATTATGATATTGCAACTGCAATCCGAAAAGAGAGTGATAAGGATTTTGAACTTCTTCGGCCAATTTTTAGTAGCAGTATATATATATATAGCATTGCTTACATTTCAAAGAACAACAAATGATGGATGAGCGTCCTGACGCAAATGGTTATACCAATATTGAGGAGTGCAATATTATTCTCCTTTTCGATGGCCTATGTAGATTAAGCAACATTTGCAAGGCATTGTCGTGCTATACAAACATTAATGTTAGGCTCCCTGAAAAAAAAAATGCTCGTGTGATCATGCCATTGCTTTTAACTTGTAGTTATTAAATGACTTGAATTTCAGAGAATTAACACCCTGCCAATTTTAAGTGACGTTTTTATTGCCAAAATTGTAAATATAGCCTTTCAATGCCATTTACATAAGTTAAAACCACTGTCTTGAGACTGTGTGTGTGTGTGACGTATATTGTTTGCATTGGGATGCAGTTTGTGACCCGATGAATCGGAAGTAAATAATCATAATCATCATCGGCGTCATAACTGAAAGTAAACTGGTATTAGGGACGGACCATTAGAAAAGTTATGGGGGGGGGGAGGGGAATTTTTGAGCCGCAGGAATTTTTTTTCGTTATCAAATTCCTTGTATGAATTTTTTTAGGCCGTAGCATGAATATTTTTTAGGGTTAATTGGCGTGCATGAATTTTTTTTTCATTCAATTTTGCCTTGCGCGAATATTTTTTTTGTACTTCGCCCGCCACCCCCTCCCCCGCCCCCCATAAGTTTTCTAATGCTCCGTCCCTAATACCAGTTTACTTTCAGTTTAGTTCATCCTTTAGTATGGTGTTATATACAGGTACTTTATTACTCTTCAAGAAGAGTTGTGATGGGCCAAGTAGCCAGTCTTAGCAAAAGGTAATGCAAGAGGTTGTGTGGGCAATATATTTAAAAAACTTAACTAAGAGTCAAAACAAACGCAAAATAAATCATTTTAGAGGAATGGAATTCCTCAAGTTTCTGTAGATCGCGACGGTTTAACATAATTTGGATTGTTTACATCATTATCTGATGAAGACAACCAGCCGTTTCTTAATTTTCGTTAGCAAAGTACAGGCAGGTATATTATTACCACCTGAAAATTGATGCAATGTTTGGTTTTTGTACAAGCCAGGCGTCACGCGAGCTTGAAAACGAAAACAACATTACTACGTGTGCATCACCAACACTATTTTCCTAGGGACATCCATCCATCCGCCGGCCGGATGATGCAAGTCATGCGTGACAGCTGCAGAAGACAAATTGTGTAGTTAGTCTCTTTCGGCATCGTCATTCCTTTTTTCCAAGAAAACTGTTTCCTAATTTGTTCGCTTTCTTGCTCGCAGTTTATTGTTAGTTTTCTCTCTGTGATTCAAATAGATTCCAGCATTCTTTTCTATATTTACAACGGATAACAGAATGATTCCTGTTTTTTTTGGAATAAACTTCCACGCATGCGCGTTTTTCCGAGAAAGTGGAGCTACAATTTTAAATTACAACCTTTTCGTGCCGAATGTTATCTACGACTTTCCAGAGGTCTATGTACTAAGTTGGTAGCAAGATAGTCATTGCCGATACATATTTTTTCTTTTACTTATAACATGTCTTGGTCACCAACACAGCAAAAAAGGCTAGGATTTGAGAAAGACTTATTGGAGCAATATTTCCGTGGTAGGGTTTCCTGGATCAATCCAACTGGAAACACAAGAGTTGAGGTCAGAGTAACTTGCACTAACGACAAACAGTACACACTTCGAGTGTATTTGCCTTCAGACTACCCCAACTCTTGCCCTGATATGGTGGTGAGCAATCCATCATCTTGTTTGCGGAAGAGAGACGGATCTTCACTGAGCAACACAGATGGAGGCAATCACACTTTAGACAGCAGGGATGGCTGCACAAAGATTTGCCACTTTAGAAGTAATTTGTGGCGGGATGATAACACACTGTACCAGGTGGTCATGAAGGGTTTGATATGGCTGGAGGCTTATGAGGCACATCTTCGAACTGGAAACTCCCTGAGCAAATACTTGCAAGAAATGTAGGAGGGTGGCAAATGTAGTGGCTTCACAGAACAAAAACAGAAAACAAGCCCATTGTACGAATTAACGCATGATTGTAGAACAATTCCAAACAGAAACTTTAGTTGGTTTCATTTTGGTAAGGGTTAGGCCGTTTGTTTGTTTCATAGGTTAGCACAATAAATCATTTAATATTCTTCAATACATTATAAAAAAAAAATTATAATAAAAATCATTTTCATCAGAAAACAGTTGTGTTTTCTAGTCCGGGCTATGGAGACAAATACAGTTGGTTTACCTCATGATGTGTCATGTAATATGATTGAGCAATTCGAAATCATAATCATGGATTTGTATTGAAATGAAAGTAGGGTAGTTAGACTTCTTCTTGTCTTACTTAAATCAAAGGGCCGCAGAACTGGCGTATCAGTGACATAAAAACTTTTTACTTGGCATTTTTAAATGTAAACGAACTGAATCAAACAAGCAGCAAACCGACAATTGCAAAGACCACTCGTAATAAGATACTCTCATTAATTTGTTTTTAAACGACTTCCGAGAAACATACGTGATCTTGCATTTTTTATAGTTCAATGACCATGCGTGATTTCCAAGAAATGATTATTGACTAGCTGAAAAAACTGCTCTCAAGTAAACAAATACCAAATAAATTAGTTTGGCAAAGCGATTAAATATTGGCAAGTTTTCTACTCCAAGTAAAAAAATATATATTCTAAACAAATTATGCCTTGGTCAGCAACACAGCAGAAAAGACTTGGATTTGAGAAAAATTTACTTGAGAAGTACTTCCGTAACATAGTAACATGGATCGATCCCACTGGCAACACCAGAGTCGAAGTCAGAGTGACGTGTACCAACGACAAGCAATACACACTCAGAGTTTATCTGCCATCGGACTACCCCAGCTCTTGCCCTGAAATGATTGTAAGCTATCCTTCCTCATGCCTTAGAAGAAGAGACGGTTCTTTGATGAGTGGTATGAGCGGAGCAGACCACATTTTGGGAATCAGGGATGGCTGTACCAAGATATGTCATTTCGACAGCAGTTTGTGGAAAGATGACAATACGTTATATCAGATTGTTATGAAGGGCTTAATTTGGCTGGAGGCTTATGAAGCGCATCTTCGAACTGGCCATTCTTTGAATAGGTACTTACAAGAGATGTGAGTGGAACACTTTATACAGCAACTGTGAAATCCCCACAATACCTTTGTTCGTTGGGACTATAGTGTTAACTGAATAACATTCGCCTTCGTTATTTAAAATAATAGAAGCTATTGAGCGCTTTCACACACAGGGGCAGCTGCTATGCAAATTTATTGAAACTAAAGACAGAATTCACATAACGAAAGGGATCAACTTCTACGGGACTGGTTTGGTGCACCAATATGGCAGCCGTTTCTTTATGTGGAACACCAATATGGCGTACGCGATCTCGTGTGAAAACGCTCTATTGTTAACTGATAGTATTATGCGACTAACTTGATTAGAATAAGGAGGGAATCATAAGGGAGTGATTTAAGCAAAAAATAATAAATAAATGAAATAAGTAAACATCGTAGCGATGACTAACGCAGGCGCATACACCCGAACTAATGTTTCAATAAGCTTTAATGCTACAGTCACGTAAAGTTTAATGTGTCGCCTCTACAAAAATAAAGCATAATCCTAAACTAAACAACCTTGGCCCTAGATAGACGGTACCAATAGCAAAATAATAGATCCAAACGATTGTTTGAAATTCAAAATAGCAGTATAATAATGGAATGGACCTAAGTTGTTGCCAATTAAAACCATCCGCTTCTCGGAAATACAGGAACTTTTTAGCGCCACGTGATGTTTACAATTTCGTGAAGATTAAAAACCAATATAACTTTATCATTGTTAACAACTCTTTAAACATTTTCCCAGAAAAGTTTAGAAAAGACGAGAAGGTTTGGCGGTCATATCTTGAACGGTTTGGAAGTTATTCAACTTTTTAGTAATTGTGGGGGAGCCCTCCCGTGGTCTGAATAGGATTAAACGGTGCGGGTGACACACGAGTTCGGTAGAAAGCATTTTAAAGTCGTCGCGACAAACATTACCGTATCTGAAGTTATATTGTAAAACCAGTAAGACTTAGGATGACAGCTTTAATCAGGTGTAAGGAAGAATTCTCTCTTCACAGTTAGTAAAGAGCTATGTGATGATAAATATTTGCTTTATGCAATTCAAGGACAAGTTTTAAAAGATTTCCTAGAAAAGTATTTGTGGGCAGGGTAAAGGTCGAGGTCTCTAGGCTCAATTGTATGTTTTGCCTTAGGAATTTTTCTTGCCGTGATAGGGAGCACAATTAAAAGAGCACGGATAGGTACATATTACATATCAGCTGGGATATACATACAGTTAACGTTTTTATTCTTATTGGTAAAATAACATGCATTGTATGCGGTGAAAAAATAAATAAAATTAAACCAGAAAAGCAAAACTTATGGATATGTATCTTGTTGACTCTCTGTGTTTGTCACATAAGCAATCAAAAATGACCTTCATTAATGTCCAATGTGTGCCATATAGTTTGTAATTAGCACCGCTCTAGTAAGGAATTCGAATCTGTGGGTACCGTTTCTTACGCCAATTTGAGTTCAAAAGTACACAGAGTTAGCTTGTACTTCGATTTTAGTTTACTTAGCCATTCCGTTCTATTATTTGGCATTGGAGGTCAAACAGTGTGTTTGTTGCAAGGCGTCGATCCCGAAGTTTTATGCAAAGTTATTTGCAGTAACTTTGTTATGCCACTCTATTTGATGTTGTTGCAGCAGGGAGAAACGCAAGGACAGAGATGGCCTAGTGGTGACTCTGTCTTAATAGTCCCCGCTGTCAGCTGCAGGTGAACGTCGGGTACGTGTAGCTCAGGTTGTAGGAAAGCTTTGTGGTGGACAGCTATTAGGTGTCCTAGATACAAACAATTACCAGAAAGCAGAAATAAGTAATGAGTACATGCAAGTTTTACAAGGAGAAAAAACGCCGATGATAATTCACGAGACTCAGATTCAATATATATACATCTTCCATTTATTGTTGAAGATACGAAGGACGACGGGGAGGGGGGAGGGGAATTAGCTTTCTTGGGATCAATCAATACTGAGAGGGTTACAGTGTAAGTAGCTTCGATTGTGGTAATAACACATTAGTTGGTGGTGGTGGTGGTGGTGTTATTGTTGTTCTTGTTGAGGTAATGGTGGTGTAGGTAGTAATGGTGGTGTTGGTTGTGTTGGAGGTGGTGGTATTAGCGGTGGTGTTGGTTTTGTTGGGGTTGGTGGTGTTGGTTGTGGTGGAGTTGGTGGTGTTCTGGGTTGTGTTTGTGTTGGTTTCGGTGGTGTTCTTGGTTGTGTTGGTGGTGTTTGGTGTTGCTGTTGGTGTTGGTATTGTTAGTGGTGGTGGTGTTGGCGTTGTTGAAAGTGTTAGTGTTGGTGGTTGTGTTGTTGGTGGTGGTGGTACTGGTGTTGGCGGTGGTGTTGGTTGTGGTGGTGTTGGTTGTGGTGGTGTTAATGGTGGTGGTGTTGGTGGTGTTCTTGGATGTATTAGTGGTGGTGGTGGTATTGGTATTAGTGGTGGTGTTGGTGTTGGTGCTGGTGTTATTGAAGGTGTTAGTGTTGGTGGTATTGGTGTTGTTGTTTGTGTTGGTGCTGATGGCGGTGTTGGTGTTGGTGGTGGTGGTGGTTGTGGTAGTAGTAGTACAGTAGTAGTAGTTCCTTAAAAAATTCTTTCTAGAGGGTAAAAGTGGTAGATAAGTAAAAGCACCACCCAATGATCTGATTCGGTTCGATTGTTGGTCTGTTTCTGCAATACCGTGACACGTACTTTGGATCAGTATATTTTTGTTGACTTTCGATCTTTGCCTTTCAATCATCCTTCAGCGTGATCTATTGATTGAGTTTTTGGCCAAACATAACTTTCAAACAACTGGCTTCTTTCAAAATGAAATGTTTGTGAGAGGTTATTGTTAATCGATTGTTTTAATTTAATGTGAAGGAGTAGGAAAACACAAATACAAGGCTTGAAGAACAGGCCAATTCAAAATAAGGAAGTACGTTCTAGAAGGGAGAGAAATTTGTAAAGTTAAGCAAAGTGCTAAGGTTGTTACCTTCACTATTATACGTTTTATGTATTACCGACACACTGTCAGTTCACTAAACCTTTTGAGAACTTACTAAAAAATCCGAAGTGTTTGAAAACTGAAACTGGTGATAATTTGGGCGCCATTTGTTAACATAACTTTACAGGAGCGTGAACTGCCTGCTACGAAAAGAAGCTAATTACTTTTAAACCAAAGGAAGTGAAATGATCTTACTGTTTTAAACACCCTTCTCCGTGTTTTCCACTTAATGCCTAAATAAAATAATTTAAAAACCCCACGCAGTTTAAACCAGGTTGAATGTCAGGTTACCGAGTGGTAGGTGGATGGTTCATCGTAATCTTATGAGGGTCACAATAGTTGGCGTAAAACGACAAAGTATTGTTTTCAAAATACACAAATTTTGGTGCTGACTTAAAAGTATGATCATCCAGAAAAGAGCAACAACTTAACAATTTGACAATATAAATGTTAGGTTAGCGTTTAAACAAATGAAATGGCTTTTTTTTTCAACCGTCGAGAACGCTTTTTAGACCAGTTAAAAAACAAAAAAACAATCAAATTTAGGCCCACCTTTACTAAGACTCTCCACGCACCCTGCACAATATATGCCTTTCTGTTCCACTTTATGACCTTGCAAAGCTGCAGATGATAAAAAATGGCTTGGAAGATGAGGTGTTGAGACGGAGACAGGGACATGACCTTGGTAGTACGCAACCCAGTGTGCACACTCTCTAGGAAAAAAAAAGAAAATAATAAAAATAAAGATAAAGAAAGAAAGAAAAAGGGAAAAATAAAATTTGGTAAAACTGATCAACAATGTTTCTAGCTAATGATGAAAAATGGTTTCAGCATGTGGGGAGCAATCGTGCAATTGAAAATTCCGAATTTTCGCATTATTAGCAGCTTAAGATGAAACCTTGGAGGCTGCACTCATTTTAACCTCAGACGCGTTGTTTTACCTCGGTGCCACTGTGAGCCTTTAGAAACAGTACCTCTTTCCCTAGGTGTTATTAGTTCTTTAGAACACGTACTCTAAGTTTTGCGCATGCCAAAAATTTTTGCGTTGGCTCTGTGTAGTAGATACTTGACTGCACGGATTGTTTTATCAATCCATTGTCACAAGTCTTAGGACGCCTTGCAGTCGGTCGGTTATCAAAACTAGGGTGTCATGGTTTGACTATTTGAACATCTGTTCAAATACGGTGATGATAGTCATGCGTTTTGTCTACTTACCTGAAATAAATGAAAAAGAATGCTGCTGAACGAATCTCACACTTATGTTGATATTCGCCATTTGCACATATCCCATAATACATCCTGTTTAACCTAACATTTTTCCTAACCTTTTTTTTTATATATGTATTTTTCCTGGGTATTTCAGCCCTCCTTCCCAGGAAACTGAAGACAATGCTTATGCAAAAGTTTAGGGGGGAAAGTACGTGTATTATGGGAGATTTCCAAGTGGCGAATGCTCTAATTTTTACACTCAAAACAAGGTTAGTAAATTGCAGCTTGAAACAAAGGGAGTATTTTAGAACCTGTATAAATTAGGAGAGGTATGAGTTGAACCTTTTAGTTTAGTTGATAAATATCACGTCTTATTTCAGAAACGAAAAGATACAGAGTGGTAATATATAACTATGTAAAATACTACATAAGGAATGAAAAGATCAGCAACAAGCGAAGGGAAAATCGTTCTGTTTCTTCAGCGAGCCATGCAGCGGTGGAATGTACATTTGGTCCCACGAAAAACACTGCTCAAAAAAAACAAAAATTGGTTTGATATGTAGGGGAGATCTGCATCTATTTGAAACATTGCTTGTGATTGGCTGGGAAAGCAATTAAGGGATTTTGACATAACAATGCCCCTATCCATGAAAACAGTGGGACCAATGAAATAAGAGGTTTAGAACAGTCAACCGGGAGGGGGGGGGGGGGGGGTATGTAAAACTAGCGAAAGTTTGCTTCTCTTTTTTTCATCTCAAAGGGGGGGAGGTTCTTCAACCCACTTGGGGCGGGCGTCCCTTTTCTTTGGAAAGTTTTGTTGGGTTTCCCTGAACCCCTTCGCAAGGGAGGTGTTAGTTGTTTGTTTTTTAAATGTTTGTTGTTTGGGAGGAGAAAAAAAAATAGAGAGTTGGACAAAAAACCCACCCCATAAGAAAAAAAAGGGGGGCCAAAAAAAAAAAGAGTTGAGAAGAGGGCCGGGGGGGGGGGGGGGGGGGGGGGGATATGTACAACTAGCGAAGATTTGCTTCTCTCTTTTTCATCTCAAAGGAGGAGAGCGTCTTCAAACGACTTGGGTCGTGCGTACCTTTGCATTGGTAAGATTCTGATGGATTCCCTGAATCCCTTCGCAAAGGGATTGCTGTCGATTTTCAGGCGAGTTATCTGTAATGACGAAACAAACAGATGTTAGCCTCAGCATACCATCTTGATCTTTGTGACAAAAGATTGACTTATGCGTTAACTAGCTTTAACTTAATACTGCAAGTGTGTCTAAGCACTAAATGACACGAAACTGACCTTTTTTGAATGACTTTTTAACGATCTGTTTGTATTGGCACAATGTTGAGACTTTGCAAATAAGTATATAATTCTTCCTGAACGCGAAGTTGTTTTTGTAGAACTGAAATTCTCCAGCAGTAAGAACACTTCAAACAACCGAAGATTTCCTTGTGAAATAATGTAGTTTCTGCATTTAAAGAAGGTATGTTTTCATGCAAAACTAAACGATAAATCCATTTTATGCAGTTTAAGAACGGCATAGGTTAATTACAGTACAAAACAGCTGAGGATTAACTTTAAAAGTTATGAAGAGTTCCAGTTGAAGAATTATTAATCCAAATATTGAAGTCATTTGTTCCGTCTGGTACCACAGAAGATTCATTTTCATCCTAATTGCATAATTGTGGAAGTATTCTACTAAAACTGCCTTAAAATCTTCTTTTTAGTTTATTTGAATCTTTCCTTCAGTTTTCGTGACTTAACGCATCCTATGCGTATCAATTAGTCCGACTTCCTTTCTTCTTCATGTAACATCTGATCTGCAGACTACCAAAAAAATTGGCGAATTGTCTGGCAATCTGAGTTTTGTGTAAAAAGGTCGACTTTTAGACGAAAAGTAGCGTTATTCGATTTATTACTGTTTATAATTATTTGGCTTTTACCTGCGAATAGAAATATGGCGGATGTGGATATTTGAGGTTCTAAGTGGGTCAGAAACAGTTACTCTTGGCGCGCGGTGCACGTTGACAGTCATTATTTCCCACTGCATGCAATTCATCACGAAAAGAAAAAAAAATGTTAGTTGAATCTTTATTGATTTGCAGGTAACAAGTTCAGATGCCCGAGTTGTGAGGAAAGAAATAAATAAAATTTCGAACGATACATTTTCAGTGGAATATGTCTCTGAAGTAAGTCACGTTTTTTGCCTATGCTACAAAATTGCTAATAAGAAAACAAATCATCACATTCTTTTTGTCACATAATTTTGTAGTCGCAATTGCGATGGTTCTCGATTTAAGTTTTAAAATCACCAAAGACTGCTAATTAATAGTCCATTTTTGATTATCTTGCTAATTTTAAAATATACCCCCACCAAGGTATGATTCTCTGTTTAATCTGAGCTCCAGTAAACCTTACTTGTTTATTCACAATAACGTCGCAGCTGGAGATTCGTGATCATTTTGATGTTTCAGTTCTTACCAGTTGATTCTGGTACGCTGTCACAGCAATGAAACTTGTCTCAGGAAACTCAAAAGTTTTGGCTCCATTCGAATTTAGGTCTATCACTCCTGCCGTGTGATCTCGTTTTCTCACGATGTGTACTCTGGGTTGATACTTGTGCATCGAGTTTAGGACAACCTAATGAAAAAAATATCAAAAACATATTAAATTAGTTTACAGAAAACAACGAGATACATGTGATAAATTCTGGAGGCAGTTGAAGGGCGATAGAGTAATACCGCTTACAGTGGGATATGGCATGCCAGTCGTAACAGTTCTGATTTTTCATTTCAGGGCTAAAGTGAAATTGTTTCATTACGGTTGACCTTTAAAGTTTACAAGAAAGAGAACATTAGAAGCCATTTTTTTTCAAATTGAGAATGAGAAATTGTGTTTGAAATGGATGTCTTAGAGAACAAACAACTTCAACAAAGTAAACGAATAATGAAGATGTGTGTGGACACTTCTTGAAAACGGTTAATTTGAGGCCAGTTCCAAACAAATTAAAAACAAAAAGATCAGTTTCCTTTCAGGGTAATGCAACTTCGTTGTTTGCCCAAAAGATAGGGGTTCGACAGTCAACTCGGCAAAGGAACAGTACTGATTGGCTTTTGAGTCAAAATATATCCTAGCCAGACTAGAAGGTATCAAAGTATCCGCAACGGATCTCATCCGCTTTCAATGCGCCGACTGTTATCTGCGTGGGAAACGAGGGAAAGATAGAAGAACCCACATCTTAATCTGGGGGGCAGCGACTGTACGTTTTCGTACAAAGAAAGCACGAATTGCTCGAAAATATAATAAACTCAAAGGTAATTTTCATTCTAAAGCTCTTGCATAAAAGGGGCTGTGTCGAGGCTGTCTAAGTCAGTTAATTTGTCAACAATGCCAATTACGTGTCCTTATGGGCTACGGAAATCATCGTTAGCAAAGAAATTAATGGTAAATTACAAAAACACAGATTCTTGTCCAATAAATATCAAATGTGAAAAACAACAAAAATCAAATTTGAAGAACTGTTAGGTTAACAAGTTTACAAACTCCACAATTGCAATCTATTTTGATTTTGCTCAGTTTTGTCCGTCCATGTGCCTTCTTTTGTATTCCCCTTGTTATTTATACCTTTTTGTAACATTTTGAGCAGTTATTTTCCTGTTTCACTCAATTTCCTGACAGTTCCTACTGTTTGAATTTTGATCAATCTCGTGAGTCAGCTCCTTTAATAGATGCACCACTTTCAAGTCCACTTACATGCCCACTCTGATCCAGCACGTTGTTGGTCAGTTTGACTTTCTCAAACGAAATAATTTGCTTTAATAACTGTTCTCCGGAAAAAGGTGATTCTGGATGCATATAAAGTCTTACAGGGGCTGGAGGATCGGCCTTGCCCGCTACAAGCCAAGTCGAACGATGATAGGCGTATCTGTAGCGTTTATCATCAACAGGCACAGTATCCATTAGGATCATGTAATTGGCTTTAGGATCGACGCCATGCAATGACACCTTTAGGGTCGGGAACATCCTCCTTTGAGAGAAAGACGGTTAAAATAAACAAATTAATTAATTATCCTAATTTTGATTAAGGTATTATTATCCATACCTTCTGCTAGAGTAAAAATTTACGATTGAGATTCCGGCTATTGAAGAACAGAGTTGAGCAAGGTTGCAAGCTCAGACAATATTGCTTTCTGTTGTTAGGTATTTCTTTTTCTCGAGTTGAACTTGTTTCAGATGTCCATAAGGTTAACCAATTTACATGTTTATCATATCAAATGTGCAAAAAAAAAAAACGAATTACTGAAGAGAATTTTTAGAATATGTTCTTACACTCTTATGGTCATGCAGTGGGTTAAAAACGTTGCAAACAGAGACAGCAAAAATCCTAGAAAACAGTTCCATTTGTTTCTTTCTGTCTTTAACACCAACTTTTGATCAATGTATTTCTGTTCTAATGGAGCAGCAAATTGGGGTGTGCATTCATAAACAACAGCAAAATAGACACTACACTTTTCTTTCATGTGCATTTTGGGGGAAAACTAATGTTCAGAATAAGAACTTGATAAGGGTGCACGTGTTTTCCCTAAGAGATGTCTTGCAATAAGAGAGAATTGCAACTGCTCTTAAGTCTTTTAATTGAATTGTTTGAAAAAAGGTGGATTTTGAAGAGTGCTAGCTTTCCCTCAGAAAAGGTCAAGGCTCTGTAAGGATATAGCTTCGAAACAAGCTGGTATGTTATTTAATAATACTTCTTGTACCAACAAAAAGCTGTTCCATTTGACGATTTTTTTTTTACCTGATGATTTCCAGCGGGTAGTTATGACTAATAAATCCTTTTCGATTCACTATATTTGCAAAGTGGAGACTATTTATAATAACCTAACGAAATGCGGTGAAATTAATTCAAGGTAGCATGCTTCTTAACCAATTCTTCTGAAAGGCAGTGCATGGCCGCAATTTAGAAAGATGTTATCCATCCACCAAATATAACATGGCCATGTTCATTTTATCAACATTATTCAGTCGTCCCCCACCGTTAGATTCTTCTTGTTGTAATTGTTTGAACTTTCAGCCTTTAGTATTGTATTCTTTCGTTTTAAGGATAGTAGTGGGAGTTCCAATCCCTTGTCGTTTGTCGAAACCAATGACGGCGAGAAGTATGTCAGTCCCCAAAAGACAAGTAACCTGAACATAAAACGCGCGGCAACTGGATTAAAAAAAATATCATTGTGCTAATCAATAATGGAATAACTATAAGATATTCTCCCTTGGTTTGGTTATGCCTTAAAACTCCATATTCATGTCAAGCACTCATCAGCAATGGCGATCTTGAAAAATGGAGTGGAAATCGAAGGAGACTGAAAATGTACTGTGCAGAAAACACATACTTAAGCATTAAATATCTACTAAGTCGAGGTCGAAGGTAAAGAATAAGACAGTCATGAAAAAGCAAACATATAATAATTATATGAATGCAGAACAGGGAATGTCAGCCCACCCTTACATTTTCCATTTGTTTCTCGAATAAGAGTCTCCTATTTCGAAATATGGAGTAAACAATAGAGTTGTTTGCAATGTCAAATCAAGACACTAGCTGCCCCTTCCAAAAAATATATGCAGACGAAGTTATAAGAACTACTTCCACAATCTTACAATAGCATTTTAAGGCAAGGAAGATCCTACTGCTACCGGCTATATTTTTCGTGAGTCGGCTTTCAGAACTTTCCCTTATAGCTGTCAATAAGCCAATAAATATAACATGGTGTAAAGTGTCTAAGTAGCTGCGGTGGACGACACTTAAAACAACGGACCCATTAACAATACATTATGTTTCATATGGCCGATTGTGAAGTTAGGCTTGAACTGTTTACTTTTTCCACATATTTGGAAGAATGAAAACGATCTTTGCGATGCCTGTCCATCGCAAAGGTTTGTCGATTGGGCCTCAAGAGAATGTAAACATTTCCACCCTGCTTTAGACGTTCGTAGCAGCCAGCTGTCCTAGTGATGTCCTCCTTGAAAGTCGTTTGCTTGAAGCCTCTTGCATTAGTCAATAAAAGATGTGACTGGATTTCATACAAAAACCTTTAGACTTTAAACATTTCTACAGTAGGTGATGACATAAACCTCACCTGCCAGACTTTGTTATGATCATCTCTGTGCCCAGTTCATTGAAGCGATCCCAAAGATCTCGACTCTCTAGAGTTGCTGTTACACTTGATAAGTCCTCAACGACTTCTGATGAAGAAACTGGCGACTCCATACACTTGTCATCTGTACTGCTTTCTGCACAAAGTTTATGTCGCTTTCCATTTTCAGAAACCACAGTGGCATTCTCACCAGTGTAAGGCGCCTTCCTCTTTAGCTTGCTTGCTGCTAAAAATAACATTGTAGGTTTTAAAAGTTAATTTCATCAAAACAGTCCAATTAGTACGAGAAGTCTGTATTAGTTACATTACAAAAACACTTGGTGAATGTGTTTTTTCGCCAAAGCCTAACTGAAGAATGTTTGAACGGAACCGCCAATGTGAAAAACGTGACTGACCCAGTGCAAATACAACCGCCATTTTGAAAATGACCAGTTCATTCGAAGAGACAATTCACATGCATTAAATCGAGTATCTCATTTAGAGTCGTCCCGATATGGTGTTGGACTCTAACAGACCTTTTAACGCATCTTTCTTGCTGTAGTGTACAATTTGGGCTTATGCTCTAAAAGCTTGCCAGTAAAAGAAGTAAGAAAGTGAATGGACTTCATCTCCTAATTTATAACTAACTGTACCGCTTTCATCCGAAGCCATCAATGACTCAATCGAGAAGGCAGTTGCTTTCGAAGAGAGATTTTGCTGCGTTGTGAACTCTGCCATGATAATACTATTTATAATAAGTCTATATGCTGATTTCGACACCATTCATCTTACTAACTGAAGTCTCTAAACAAGTTATATAACAATCTCCGATAAAACCGTTGATTGGATCATGGCTAATTCCTCTCTCTAAGCCAATCAAAATTCTAGGCTGTAAAGCTTGTGAAATGAAACGCGGTTTCCCACTTATCGCGAGAGTGTAAGAGCGAACAGTGATTTCTGGGTGGTAGTAACGCCTTTTTTAAAGGTAGTCCTAGATAGATAGGCTGTATTTGCACGGACGGCCTTAACCCAAAGGATGACAACTGAGATTCTTACAATATTTCAAGATGCCGGACTAGACAATTTGACACTAGAATTCGTTTATCATGCCTTGTTATCACCCCTATGACCTTATCGTTTTGGAGAAGCCAACAAAGCACAAGATATAACTTTGCGAGAGTCACTAGGCGTGGATTCTTTGGTCCTTTGCAAATTGCGTTTGAAGAGCAAGGATTGTTTTGGAAATGCATCATTGACAACACTGTGTAGAGTTTCAACACTATCGCTTTGAAGAAACATATTGTTGTTTTGCTTGCTTGTAAGGAAGTTTGTTTGCTTGCTTTTGAGTAAAAAACCTAGTTGAAAAAAAAATCAAACTGGACTTTAATCAACTTTTCTGATATTTCCTGTTCCTTGCATTTTGCGGGCGAAAGACAAGTTCATGGTCATTCCACTCAGGCTGCGCTATTCTCAGTCAGGTGGATTATGCTTTCTTGACATGTTTTTAAGGCTTTAGTTGAATTACCTTAACACCTTATGTAATTTCCGTTAGTAGAAAAGCAGGCCGACAAAGAAATCGTCTGCAATCATGGATTATATCTCGTGAAACTTATTACGAATTAACAAAATAGGTCACAGAACAAAAAGGATTGTTTTTCCGCGTAAAACTCATCGACAAATGAAATGTACTTAATAGTCATAAATTGCATGGAAAGTGCTTACATTTTTTCTTTAAAGAAAAAAGTTAATATTGCTTGGCTATTTCTTCTTGTATTTAACAGTGTTGTTCTTTAAGTCATTCATATGGCAATAAATAGCTTTACATAGATAACAGGCAAAAAGCCGATGACAAACCTGAAATGCGCCGCTCGTTGTTGCATGCCCATGGCTACATCTGATGCTGTGTTGACGCCAAATGAGACTGAATAATGCCATTTAAGCCCAATACACAAAGCTATAGGAGTTTATCAGCACCCTCCGTTTATATCTAGTGCTTATAAATAAAGTGTCTTATCTTCACTAAGTCCCACCGTAGGTCGTTTGTTAAGCTCACTGCTTGTCTGGTGCAGTTGAATAACCACTGTGCTCACAGCTTACTGATCAGGTCTTACTTATCACCTTGTAAGCTTTAAGGTACTGAAAAGAACAAAAAGAAGCACATTCAGATGTGTTGACAACATGATACCTAGTTTGTTTACCGACATCTGGAGTTAGAGATAATCGACAAACTGATAAATTGCAATAGTATTTCCGATTCACATTTGAATCAAATGCCATGTCACTGAGTTCAGAAAAAAGACACAATAGACTTTTTTAATACCTTTTAAGGTGCCCCAGCCCGATGTTTCACAACCCTCTAAGAAGGAATGAAAGAAGAAAAAGGTATACACGCAACCACACATTTGCTTTTCAAACGATAATGGTTTTGTACATGCAATTTACTAGTCACATAAGAATGATAAAAAATAATAAATAAACATTATACAAATTAAGAATGTTATCGTTCTCTACTATTATGGAATCACCACGTCAATATTGATAATTAACAGTTTTCAAACGATCAGGATAATTTCTGCTGGTCACAAACTGCTGTGGAACGCTGTTGAAAGGTTCAGAATTTACAGTAACCGACCGTAATAAACAGCAATGAGGGTATTTTTCACAGAAAAGAAACAGCTTTTGGGATTAAAATGTGTTAATCCCAGAACAATCCATTTAAATGAAATAACTTTATCAAAGTTTGGTTGATAAGAGGTTGGGTGGCGACATTTTTGAAATACTTTCCTGAGGCAATATTTCACGATTCTCCAGATACTTTACTTTAATTTTGGGCCGGCACAGAAAGAAAAAAAAAACGGTCAATAGAGGGCGGGAGTTCTATTCTTCCTCCAGTACAACTTTTAGTCATCAACAATTGAGATTAACAAAACGTTTGTGAATCCTCCAGTGTTACATTACAGTTTCTTTGGGCTGTTTATCCTACCCATATATCTTGTCTGTAACTGTGCTCATATTGTGGCTGGTCCCTCCTCAAATGTTCTACAAGCGGAACACGATTCAATGGACCCGAAACCATATACTGATGCACAGTTACGACTTATAGATACATGTGTTTCGAGCAACAACAATTTGCCGTCTGTCCTTTTTGAATTGAATATGTGTTATTAAGAATGTATTATAAACAAAGTAATTAGGAGCTACACTTTTAAAGCACCATTCTCTGGGAGTCAACCATGAACAAATTTCGGCAATAAAGTTTGCGAAACGAATCTTGCTACACTCAAGTTCTTCCCAACCCCGTACTGCAGAAAATTTGTTTTCCTCAACCGAAAAAGGTTCGTTTTCGAGGTAACGCTGTTAAGAAGATAATTATAGATTGGCGACCACTTGAGAAATCGGCTTATCTTATTAGCAAGTTTTCCTCACGTCTCGAATTCCAAGTTAACACGAGATGTTTTATATCAAATGAGCAAACTCCAAAAAAAAAAAAAAAAAAAAAAAAAAAAAATATCCAAAAATTTTTGTTATAAGTAAAAAGAGGGTAAAAAAAAAAAATGAGTCATTTGTCTTTATTTTTTTATTTATTATTTTTTTTTTATCTTTATTTTACCTTTCAATAAAAATTCATAAACACGAAAAAGGGCGCTTTTAGGGAAAAATTTTGAAAAAAAATAAAGATAAATAGGCGACCACGTGAAAAATGCGTTTCTTTTTATAACAAGTTTTCCCCAACGCCCAAATAAAAAGTAAAAAAAAAATTTTTTTAAAAAAAAAAAAAAACCCAAAAAAAAAAAAAAAAAAAAAAAAAAAAATGGACCGGCAAGGTTTTGTTATCGCTCTAAATGGTTTATCAACTAAACTCAGGCCAGGGTCCCTAATATCTAAATTAATAAATTATCATGTTTTGTTTCAATACATTTACTATAGAAGTTGTGGGGAGAAGGTCGAGAAGTTGTTTAAGTATCATTTAGATTCGTCGCCTGTAATCATTTCCTCAATTCTCATAACCACTCTGCCTTACAAAGCATCATTATTACAAGGAGAAATTTCATGGTGATCACTCTAAAGGTTTAACCGAATACGTTTACGATAGTTATCAAACCAGTTGTCACGAGTGAGACAAGAAGAACGTAAGAAGAGAAAACAAAATATTCTTAACTGGTTTAATCGTCCACCTGCACGATACTACATGGAAAATTTAGAAGACCAGTACTACTAACACCAATTTAAGATCCAGTAGACCTAAAGTTGATTTCCGCAAGCTTCTGTGGACTTAACCATTTTGAAAGCACAACTTTGCACAGAGCGGAAGACATTAAAATTGACGGTATATTCGACTCAACAGGCGTGTCTATAAAAAAGTGACCAGTCCCAAAAACGGACACCTGAGGTTGGTCCTTGCCGTTTTGTGGTCATTTTGTTTGCTCTTTAAGGCACAAACCTCCCTATAACGGGCTAATAGGGCTGATCTTTGTCGGTTTTCAGTTATTTTCTTTGACTCTCTGGAACAACAACAAAAAAAACACCTCACAAACGAGGACACTTAATATTTGACTCTGTCGCACTGACACTTATAGTGCCAATCCCAAAGGGGTCCCTGTGTGCATCAATTGGGATACTTTACTCATATATGTTGTGTTGTGTAGCTGCTACTGTCCGAGCCCAGATGATATGGCTGTGGGCATGCGTAAGTTACCGGCCATGCTACGACGTTTGGTAGTAGGTTTTCTGTATTTTACTCCTCTCAGTTGCAAAGTCGGGATCGAAGAAATTTAGTTGGAAAAACAAGCAAACAAACAAGTAAACAAACAAACTTCACAAAACAAAAACTCAATAAATAAATGGGGATGACCTTAATAACTAACATTGGTGTATTGACAATAATAGGTTTGTAGTTTCTTTTTGTGTTATGAGGACTTGGTAGATATTTTGAGCGAATATTTCAAAAGTACGTGTATTTGCTTTGTGAAAACTACCATCAGCTGTTACTTTTTTCTTGGCAATTATAAATGACATGAAATAAACAAATCTGAAATAAAATAAATAAATAAAATATATACAAATGAAAAGGATAGAAATTAATGTTATAAATGAAATAACACATGGATAAATGAATGTATAAATAAACAAATAAATAAATATCTAAGTAAATCAGTAGTATTTAATGTACCCCAAATTGAGATAGTCGTCTCCACAAAAAGAAACATTCCAATTCTACGCTTAGAATGATTTAGAAAGGCCATGGTTAATTAGGAAAAAAATGTTAGGAAAGGCATATAAAAAGATGAAAGTAAAGAACTGACGATGATGTGTACTTTCTTTCTTTCTTTTTTTTTTTTTTTACTATAACCAAAGACCAGGCGAGGAAACCTCACACCTGACCATCTGTTCATAATATATAAGCCGGTCTTGATATGCCTTCTTATCAGTACATCTCAGCCGTTTCAATCCTTCGGCAACATCATCAATTGCTGCCATGCAAATGACATGGGGTTATCGGTCTATCTCTTGGCTTCTGTTCACAGCTTATGTTAAGATCATTTTACCAGATTAATTAAAGGGATTATCTGTCAGGGCGTTAAGAGAGCGTGGGTAACGGGTTGCCGCCATGGATTGTCTCTTTACTGCAGAGATGAACGTAGGGAATATTTCATGACTGTAAATTCTACACGACGCCGATATAAAATTTCGCTGGTTGAAAGGTGCTGACAGTACCCTTTCTTTTGTTCTAGTGGAAGACCATTTAAGGTTTGACCTTGACACAAAATCCTGGTCGGGCATCTAACATGCGCAATAAGCCAGAAATAAAAGACAGATATTTCTGTTTGGCTCAAAGTGAACACCCTTCCCAGACGTAATAAATACATAAACAAATAAATAAATAAACGCATTTGTGTTTCTTTCATGTTGTTTTTGTTGTTTTTTAGCCAGCCCGAGCTTATTTAGGTCGTTTTTTCTGGAGCAATCAATGTTTCTTTAATCTCCTTTTAACCCAAGAATAAGAGCCCAAATCTAGACTGGTTCGCTCATGTAAGAATAATGTCACTTGATGATCTGTTAATATCATAATTATCGTTATTTCTATTTCTTTTCGTTTGCATTCTACGTACCTTTTGCAATAGTGTAAATAATCATAGTCACGCTAGTAAAGGTTATTGTTGTTCGTTCCTAGATGTTTTTACGTGAACGCTCATTCTAAGTTGTAATTAGCCAAAAGTTCACATTCCATTAGTTTAATTCTTTACTAACCACTATCTTTATTCATTGCTCTTTATTTACAACAATTGTTCTGTTCTTCCTTAGTTTCGTTTTATTCTGCTAGTTACAAACAATCAAAAGCAATAAATACTTAATAAAATATTAACTTATCAATCCATTATTATACACAGATCAAAAACTCAAGTTTTTCTAGAACTATTCAGGACATGTACTACCTTTTAAAAATGTTTAGCTAAGCTTAAATACGTCGCAATAAAAATTCTAGTCATTAAAAACGAGCAAAAATGGACTTTGTAACATTCTAATAGAATTTTAAAAGCTCTTTTGAGAATGTCCTTTGATAGAAGTGGTCTATAAGACCTACTGCTTTACCCATAAGATAGTAAAATTCTTCAGTAGCAGCACGAGCTAATGAAACAGCTCCACGTACAATAAGTTTTAAGAAGTGACTCATTGAGAATACAAAACATTTTAACTGATGTCAAATTTACATACAGAGGAAAGTCCATGATTATGAGGAAGTTCACCGATTTTTGAAACTTGCATGCAACCCCACAGTAGTCGTCAACATGATTGACATGACTACCCAACGAGAGTCTGAACAAACAGCTCAGCTTATATACAAAAAAAGTGTTCAAAGTGTGTAAAAAAATGTGCGACTAAACCTCCTAAAAGAACGGTAATGTGGGATTAGGGTATTCTCCGTGGACGCTATAGGGCGGGAAATGCGGGGTTTCTAGCGTGCCCACGGGTTTCGGCGAAGCAAACGTTGGTGAAAGCACGTTGGGCAGATGCTGTTGGTGGCGATAGGCACTTAGGACTCCTGTGAAAGGCAATCTTGGAATTGTGGGTGACGGAGGCGGAAGACAACCTGGGCAAAAATAAAAACAAAATATCAGTTTGCTAAACGTATAGCAAACAAGTAGAGGAAACCACTAAGTTTGTGTGCCCTCACAGGTTAAGACAATTAGGCCTTAAGAAAGAAACCGAGAAAAAGGGGCTGACTGGTTTTGTGCCAGACAACCTCATTAGGTTTTTGTATCGGTTCTCCTTTACGTTGATAATTTGTCTTTGAATTACAATGCCCCCGCTGACAAATATGGTAGTACTGACCACGAGAAAAAGCGACTAAAAACAACGGCTTAAAACCTACTCCTTTTACCATATAAGGGAACTTTGATTTCTTGACCACCTGTGACGGAGTTGAGTTATCTGGTTCTCCTAGTTTATTTGTTAAATATTTCCATTTACGCATCTTTATTCGCTATTGAACTTGAGAAACTAACTATGAATGACGATATTAGAGCTTCGTGTCCAACAATGTCTCCCAAGAATGTATCAAACGTTACAAACAACAAAAATGAATTTTGAAAATCTGTTAGGCCAACAAGTTTTAAACACCACAATTGCAATCCGTTTCAATCCTCCTCAAGTTTATCCATCGGTGCCTACTTTCGTATTTGCTGTGTTATTTTCATCTTCTTTTCTTAAGTTTTGAGCAGTTATTCAGTCTATGTTCCAGTCAGTTTTGTAACTGTATGAATTTTGAAAAGTATCGTGACAGAGACCCTTTAAGCCTACATTTGACGCCAATAATGATGAAAATACGGATTCTATAAGCAAGGGGTTTTGCGGAGTGAAAAACTTTGATAAAAACGATAAATGAAGAGGTAGAGAACACTTTTCCGCTCAGTGAAAGCGATTTTTCCCCAGCGCCGGACAGTAGATTGCACACTTGTTTCGTTTTGCGTTTAAATAGTCGTTGGTTTGTCTCTAGAGTCAAGAAAAACTACAATTTAGTGAGCAAAACAACAAATCGGCTGCACCGACGTGCATCACACGCACTTTCCGGTTCACTTCTTTGCTGTCTTCTGCACAAATTCGACGTTCACGTTTCTTATTCAAGGCTTCTCTGAATTAGCAAAAACGGAAAGACATATTTTCGTTTTTATATCTGAATTCGATCCCTTGGATTAACTTCCAGGAATATTCGCCAGTAAATTGCCAATTAAAGTTAAATAAATCTTAACAAGCTGCAAAAGAAAGCGGAGAGTTCATTGCTTTTTCACTGACGTCGTCCTCGTAGGTGTTTTAAGTCAGTATCCAATCATGGAGAGACGGAGATGCCTTTATCTCTCGGATCTGAAAGTTGCTATTCAAACGAGACTACCTTTTCAGGACGGTTGTATGCTGCTTAGTCGTCTGAACTGTCTAGTAAAGTGATCATCGAAAACAGTTCAATCAGTCATCCTCGACGATCAAGTGTACACTTGAGATGTGGACTGACTTCTATTAGCTGTTTTTGATTCCTTCGGCTGCATTTTTTCATGGTGTGAAACGTTTGAGTATTCACCTCGAGCAATTCAGGATCTTGTTCAAATCTTTTCTGTACATGTAGGCGGACTGCTTATACATCAGCAGTTACATATATGTACATGAGGGCCAACTGAATTTTAAGAACCACTGTTAGATTATTTAAGACGCGTCTCTAGGCGTCGCTCTGACTCTCTCAGGATGGTTTTTATTAACAGAATAATTTTAAGACAGAAAACGGCATGATTATAAAAAAACAAGCACCTTCGCTACGATTTTTTTCATTTAATTTGACCCTGAAGGGAAATTGAAAAAAAATATCACTGTCCCTTTAATAATTCTTATCTTAGTATTCCCATGCTCAAGGATTTAATATTATCATTAAAAATCATCATTTAATCCACGCATGTGATAATTTTCTCAAAAAAGTAACTCTTGTAAACTCCATTTAATGGAAGCGCGAGAATCAGTTGACCTATTCCATTTGACAGTCAAGCACCATTAGAGTATCTTCCATCACTTCGTTAAAGAAACTTTGATGTTAAAAACAGACTGTCAAGAGGTTTACGGTCATGCACCACCAACACCACTACCACAAACAACAAAAACTACAACAACAACAATATGGAAATACAGGAGGACATGTCCTTTGAGATCGGCAGGCGCTGAATAATTCGGGTACTCGTCGATATTTACAGCGTAAGTAGCTTGGAAAATCGAGATAGGTGATACAGGGTACGGAATTGCTGGATTACTGATTGAATCGTTCTACCACACATCGCTTATGGCTTAAAGAGTAGACCGACTTAGAAGACCCGACATAATATAAAGTGATTGCGGTGAAAGAAAAGATCATCTATTTGCTACAAGATAACGCTTGGCGCCACCCATACGGTTCTTTCAGTTTATTCCTCGAAGGCGACAAAAAAAGCAATAAAATGCACTTTTCGACCAGAGACAAAGGGGTTGTTTAAGCAAGTGAACTTGCAAATATCAGACAACCTTCCTATACTTTTAAGTGTCCAAACTTGATACTTACCTGATTGAAAGAAAGGCGCTTTGTCTTGAGGTCTACAGCCAATCTTGGGTAAATGGTATCTGCTGTTTACGCCTAGTTGTGGTAAAAGTGGAAAAGGAACAGAGGAAAATAATGGATCGGGAACTATCGTCTGTGAATGGCCGTCTTGAAGACAATCCCTAAAGGAAAATGAACCCAGCATTATAACTACATCAGTTTAAAATTCCAGCGCCAGAAAAATCCGGTGAACAACTGATGCTAATTAGTGGACCAAAAAAGGCATGGCGATGTGCATCCCTCTTTTGGCAAAACCCAGTGAAACCTTGTGAATTAGTGAAACATCAAAACATAAAAGGCTTGTTGGTTCCCTCCTTCGTTTGTGTTTTCGAAAATACTGATAACGAAATTTTTTAATGAAAGAAAAAAGACTTTGAAAGTGACCTAGTTTTTGCAGAATAACGATTATACTAGATTTGATGGAATTGGCGTGCCGGTTATGCCTTGATTATTACACTGAAGAGTATCCATTGATCCCTTGGACAGTTTTCCCTTGATCTTAGAAACCCTTTACGAAATATATGGAAAAACAATGACTGGCCATTATCAGATTTAATCAAGACATTCAGCCAGTCATAAAATGAATTTGGCGTCTCTGAAGTCTTCAGAGAAGCACGAATTCGGGTAACTGTCTCGTTTCTTTTTTCTTCATTTTCTTTTCTTTTCTTCTTTTTTTTCTCTTTCTCTGTTAATTGTCTACCTGTTATAAAAATACCGGCTTAACATGCTTGGTAGCTTACTATTTCAAATTTGCTTTCAAAGTAGAAACTCGGGCTCGAGTATTAAGCAAAATGTACACACCTTTCTACTGGAATGAGACGTGATGAGTCCCGGAAACCTTTCGCAAATGGATTGCTGTCTATTTTTAATCGTGTGATCTGCAAAAACGGAAAACACACAGAACTGCAGCAATTGTTAAAAGGGGAGTCAGGGAGCCTGGAGGCTCACTCTAAGGACGATTTCAGGGATATTGAGATCGCGTTTCGTATCCGCCTGAAGAACATCTGAGTTTTTTAATAGCTACATCCGATCAGTATCCAACACTGTTGGCTAGTTTAAATTATAGTCCGATTTGTTTTCTGCAAAATAAATACATGAATGCTCCTTTTATGTACGACTGCAAGAACAACATAATCAGACCAATCGTTCTTGTTCAATAAAAGCGATTTAGTTTTTCTGAATTAAAGCAACGATTCCTCTATAGCTTGTTTCGGAGCATAACCTGCAAGAAAAACGTATCTCTAGAATTGCATGTGTTTGTCCTAATTAAATTCTAATTCAATTAAGGTAAACCTTGGAGTATAAACGTCTTGTAAAAGTAACTTATGTTAGGTTATCTGTTTAACTTGCTTCGAAAAAAGAGCGGAAACAAATCGGTAGGTGTAAAGTAAGGTTTAATGTTGAAGGAAAAAATGGCTTATTTGAAAGGAAGAGGACTTAAGACTTAGAAACAAAGGAAACTTACCAATTGGTTTTGGTATGCTGTTACTCCAATGAAATTCGTTTCCGAAAAGGTGAACGTTTTCATCTCCTCTGACTTGAGATTAATTACAGAGGCTGTGTGGTCACGTTTACGAATTATGTGCACTCTAGGCTGATACTTGTGCATGGAGTTTAGAATAAGCTGGAATATCAAAGAAAGAAGAACTCAAAAGAACGAAGGACCTAAGTCAGGCAAACAGTTACTAGCGGGAAGTATGGTACAACTGTCGGCAGAGGAAGTCGGTATACTTGCATATCGGCTTTTTCACCAAGCCTCGACTTGTTGGATGATCTGAAATAAATGCCTTATCAGAACTCCTTTGCTTAGCTGCAAAATCTTATAAAGGAAAACTGGATAAAACTGAGATGAGCAAATGCGTGAATTTGCAGTGTTCTTACTATGTTGCATGACAATTGACGCTTTCAGCTGTTCTCCCCATGGGGCGAGCAAAACGTTATCAAAACAGTGTTTTGGCCTTCGATAGAAGCTTGAAGTCCATAAGGAAAGGACAAAAATAAGGAGAAGTTACTGAGAAAGTAAATGCGATTATTAACAGGAAAGTAAACGCGATTTCCACGAAGGTATTAAAGGTGAAAAACTTAGAGAGGGGCAGAGGGAGAGAGCGCAAAACTGAATCCAAACTCTGATGATTTCCTGAAAAGTACAAGTGGCATTATTAGCACTAACTTACATGGCCGTTGCGATCGGCTTCGTTGTTGGTCAGTTTGACTTTCTCAAATGATATAATCTGCTTTAGAAGCTGCTCGCCGGTAAAAGGTGAATCTGGATGCATATACAGTCTCACAGGGGCTGGCGGATCGGCTTTACCGGCTACAAGCCAAGTTGAACGGTGGTAGGCGTATCTGTAGCGTTTGTCGTCAACAGGTACTATATCCATGAGGACCATGTAATTTGCTTTAGGATCGACACCATTCACGGAAATTCGCAGAGTGGGAAACATACGTCTAGAAAAAGAAACTGTCAAATTAAGAATGCTTCTAGGGAAAAACGTACCTTAAAAATATCCTAGTTATGCGTGCGGGCAAATTTTCGTGCTTCTGGCAAATGAAATCATCAAGAATCCGTCTTCGCCCATCAGTTATCGGGTGACAAATCAGAATTTTCCGCTCTGTAGCTTATTTGCGCGAATGAGCCAATTTACACGAATGTTGTTTCTGTTTATGCATAAGTAAAGAAACTGTTTATAAAACAGTTTCTTATCTTTTTAACAACTTTGATTTCCGGGACCGTTTTATGAGTGGTTAGCGCTTGGATATTAGTTGATGGCACGGTGTTAAATGCAACGATTTTTCCTCTTAGAGTGTCAGCAGCATTCCAGTATAAGTAAACTACTGTTTCACCTTCCCGCTTTGGTAATGATCATTTCAGTCCCCAATTCACTGAAACGTTCCCACAACTCTTTCCCTTCTAGTTCCACTGTGATGTTTCTTAAATCATCCTTAGGCGGCTTCTCGAGCACTTCGTTGTCTTCGTCATCGGTGGCAACGTCGGTCGATGACATAGACTTCATTTTCTTGGCTGGTGGTTGTTCCACACAGTCGCTATCCGAAGCACTTCCTCTGAATTTCGGCGATAGACTTGGGTCTAAATTTAGAAATACAATTCAACGTGGTCACCTATTGCTGAAAAAATCACCTTGTTACTGCGGGTGATTTGAATCCCGCTCACTGAATGCGCAAATTCGCCCCCAATTCTAGCTGCTACATTTCCTAAAGGATGACTCAGTTGATAAATGTACCAAAAATACTTAAATGAATTTCAGTATGTTGGCATCGTCAGTCTTACCATCTCTAGATGATATGAGAGAGGCAATAGAGAAAGCATTAGCTTTCGTTGAGAGTGAAGAGTCCATAACGCGTTGTTGTGCACTGTTTAGAATCTTGAGTCGTTTGTGGTAGCCTGTTCACGCAAGCTGCTAAGTTCTTTGGCAAACAGGCAATAAACAGCAATTAATACTTTGATGACAGTCGTGGTATTTCTCAATGGGGCAAAGCACTGGGTCGAGACCCTAGCCTAGAATAGAACGTCAAATGCCACTCATCTTGACACTCAACACATTACATACGGAACTGATTTGAATTCAGGAAGGCTATCGGTCAAGAAAATGAACCGTTTACTCGATTTTATTGTCAACACGTTGTCTGGCAAAAGTCGACTTCGACGCTCCATTTGAATAAGATTTGGGCACGTTATCGTTTTTGCTCGCTTTACCTGTGGTTTCATTTACGGCCCTCAATATTCCTCCTCTAAAAAGCATGATTTCCTTGCCTGTTACCACTCAACCTGCTTTTCTGCTTTGAATTTGCGAACTTTTACTTCTGCAGGAAAGGTCTGTGGTAAGCGTGGGTGAGAGCCAAGATAAGTCTTTCCTTATTTGACGAAAGCTTATACCACCAATCAGAAATGTGGTAATCTTGTTCGTTTGAAATCTCTTGAATATATTTCCTTTTTTTTTTTAAATTTCAAAGGCCACTTTCAGAAGGAACACGTATTTTTCTCTTTTTATTGTAAATATACAGATCTTCCAAAATTACATTTGATTACCGTGGGATTTGACAGCAAGAAAAGCCATTTACTGATGCCCATTCAGAACAGGCGCTGGCCCTCTCTTAAGATAACCACTTTACACCCTTTAAATGTTTGTTTGTTTGGTATGATAGTTGACGGAAATAGGCAGCACCCCCCAGATATGTTTATTTGTTTAAGATAACGCAAGATCGGTGCAATCCTGCGCCTTTAATCCATCAATTCATACTATTTCACAAAGTAAGCGCAAATCGCTCAAATTAAATTTTACCGCTTATCAAAAATCACAAAACAGGAAAATCACATTGTTGAGAGTGTGTCAAGATGGCTTCGAAGTCAGGCGATTCTTTTAATTTATTTTGTTCTTTCTCGAGGAAAAACATTGCATTTAGAAAGTGAAAATCCTAAAGTTTGTTTAAAACACAGAGACCAGAATAACTACACTTTACAACGATTGCACTATTCCCTTAAAGAATGGAAGAGGCTGATGGCTGTTGACAGGGCAAAGCAATTTTCCCACGCTGTTGACTATTTCTTATCAGAGCTGAAGAAAGCACAGAGATGCCGACGAAATCCATACAGTCCATTGAAAAGCTTTTGATTAGGTTAGCTGCTCAAGACAAAGAAACATTTCATTTATTTCGTGATGAGAACAAAGACGTTCATCAGATAGCAAGAGCTACTCGTCACATCTGGATTTGTGGGACAGACTAAAAATTGCTCCACTTCCTGAGGTGACATTGTTTATCCAAAACTTGGCCTTTTCAAGCATTTTGCGATGGAAACGCGCTCTTTAAGTAACGCATTCTTTGAATTTCTCATCGGATCTTCGCAGAGCTGTATATCATGTTAAAATACCTGAGTAATGCTCGTCGGCAAAAAAGTCACACGTCCCTCTTGACCTGTGTCAAACCAATCTTTGAGTACATGAAACCAAATACTATTTACACCACACTCTTAATTAGCTTAATATACTGATAAGAATCTAGATAAGTGTCGCATTAACATGAATAGGAACTCATTATTTCAATGAATATTAAGTTTCGGTCTGGATCTTGAACGGCGCTCACGACATGCACAAGAAACACAAATCTTTGTGGTGAAACAGTCTGCTTTTTAAAAGAAAATCTTTCCACGAAAAGGCTAACGCCAAAGCGATGCTGTTGTGAAAGCTCATTTTGAAGCCATAGTGCCCACTGCGCTTGACCGAAAAACTGCTATGCGGTCGGTCCGAAATCTGCGAGGAACATGATGCGTTTTAAAAATGGCTTTCTTCGCCTAAAGCATTCGAGGGGTGTAAACTATCGCCATATGAATTCAAAGGGATAGACACCTCTTCGTCGTCTATCAACGCTCAATTAAGCTGCTTATTTATCGATCTTACCATGTTTTCAAGACAAGGGATGTGAAACGCCCGTAACGAGCCTACCCTGTGCATGCACTCGGAGTTATTACACAATTAAGTGAAATGTAAAGGTCGGATCGGTCGGATCAACAGTATCAACTGACCAGAACATTTTGAAGTCTTTCATCCATGAATATTTCACGATATCAGATCATGATTTCAAAACTCTTCAGATTTGCTATTTCAATAAACATATTAAAAAACATCAAATGAAGGCCTTTTAACGAGGTGATGGAAATGGCGAGTTATACAAATATAAACAATGCTTAGCAAAGGGAACTGTCATGCTGATGGCAACTGTGCATCATCAGCCATTTACAATAGTGTATGAAATAATAAGAAAAGTTGTTAATATTTTTATTATTATTCATTATATAATAATATTTTCTGCACGTCAAAGGATCATAATAAGTTTGCAACTTACATCAAGATACCCGTCGTTGCCTCCAGGTAAATGCATATTTGGTTTATCGTTCAGCTGATTGCTTTTGAAAACATCTTAAAAGCTTTATCAACAAGTCGAACTGCATGATCTGTAACACAGATAGCAGATAATTTGGCAACGATTTGTTGAGAGATTCAAACTGAAGTACCCTTTCGCTCCGCCATCCATTCATGTAGTAAACGTTTTTGTTGTTGGTTTGCTTTATCAGTCTAAACCACATCTCTTCGAAGGCGCATGTGGGTAACGATTTTTGTGTTAAGAAAAAAAAAATGTCTGTAAAAGCACCTCTATCTAGTTTGTAACCGTTTTCAAGCGGACGGGGTAATTGTTGAGCCTAAGAGTTACTACTGCTACAAATACAAATAATAATAGTAATGAAAATAATAATAATAATAATAATAATAATAATAATAATAATAATAATAATAATAATCTAAAACAACAAATACTGCTACTACTACTAACACTACTGAATAATAATAATAATAATAATAATAATAATAATAATAATAACAACAACAACAACAGACGAAGAAGCAGCAATAGAAAACAAAACTAAGACACTGGGGGAAGAAAATAAAATAAAGTAAGATAAAAAGAGAGAGAGGTTAATCAAAAATAGAACACAAACAGCGCGGACAAGCCGGTCATAAGTATTGTGAACTTTTGCATTTTTATATAAAGTTGACGTTTGCTACATACATTTTCAAAAGTGATCAAAGAGACGGTTACAGATTTATACATGACAAAACTATTTATACAAAATTGACAAGATTAACGGCTACGATGGCCCAGGAACAAACGCCTTTATGACAATGAGAGAAGTGTTTAAGAAACTGAAAGAAAAAGGTTAGAACGTTCCAGAGGCGACAGCAATGAAGGAGGCCAGGAATCACCAAAACTTGATTGGGATCTCACCTGAGTAAATGATCAAAGTTTCATAACCCAATTTCATGTCTACATGTATTCAAAAACAACAGCGGACGTCATAGCGGTCATTGGTTTGCATGAACGAAAGCTTTTCCTTCTACTGAGAACCACTGATAAATTTCTTTTTCGATGTCTATTCTGCATTATGCATGTTCATTCCAGCCGTTTGCGATGCATAAACAAGACCACAGGTATATAGGTATCATAGAACATATATTACATAACTGTCCAAAAATGAATATAATTATCATGAGCAAAGGCGTGTGTTGAATTGATAAATTATTTGGCAAGTGTTTTAAGTGGAAAGAGTGTGTTAACAGGGAAATGAACTTTCCGGAAAGACGTTTTTAACCATTTTGTCATGAATTGATAACCATATTTGGGAATCCAAAGACTGACAAGTTTTATAAGACTGTAGGAGGTTGAATACGGTGTTTTTATTATCCTCACCATGACAAATTTCACAAGAGACTCCAAAATTAGGTTACTAATGTTTAGTGTAAATAAACCAACAAAGAAACCATAGACCCTAGATTTAGCAGTGAGGTATCTAACATATAACAACGCCTTTCACTGTAGACTGACTGAGTTTGTAAGCACAATTCTTCCAATCTGCACTCTATGTCCCTGGGTATTCTTCAACCTCGTTTCCACAGCTTTATCCTTGGGAACGAGGTTGGATATTCTTTTCATCTGTACTGCCGACCTTGGGAATTCATTGATGCCAAACGTCGCATCTTTACAATTTCAAAACGAGGCTTGGTGGCAGGTTTTGTCGTCTGACGTAAACTCATGCAGGCCTACATGAGTTGGATATTAAGAAAGGTGTGAACGCATGTTTGTTTACAAAAGCGTCATTTAAACGGATATTGACTGGTCATGGGGCTGGTCGTTAGCGCCCAGGATCAGTACACCGCGAAACCACCAGGTTAACCATTTTTCCTGTGATCACGGTGTTTCTTCACTGACATAACGACAGCCGCTAAATATATATACAGATATACATATATATCTGAACAATTTGGGTCAACAGTGTAGTGTAATGCGCCCCTTCTTAATAATAATAATAATAATCACTTTTAGTCAGTTAGCAGTTATACATGTGGACATGGGACACAATGCAAAAGCACATCTATTTATAACTATCACTGTAACATCCTTTAGGCTTGCTTTATAAATGATTATCTGGTCGGCCAAAGCGATTATCATTTATCATGCTCCACGAGTTTCCGCCGCCCAGATAGATCAGAGAAGAAATAGTCACGCCAGCTAATGCGCCGCCTCTCAACGCCAACGCAACTCTTAAGCCTGCACTGTTTAACTCCGAAACACAATTTTCCAGTAAAAATCCAGAAGTTTTGAATTTTACATTTTTTACTCCTATGGAACAAAAGCATGTTCGTATGCTCTTAGTAAGCGTCGATCGAAGGAGGAGGAACAAGAGGAATTTCCAAAAGCTATTGTTTTTCAAGTCATGTTGGCGTGTAATAATTTTGTCTTCCCTTCTCCGCCGCTGTTCAACACACCGGACGTGAATTTGCTCGGT